ACTACAAATCCTTCAGATGATCCATTTTTACCATCAAACAATTTGTCCACCATCAACACTACAAATCCTTCAGATGATCCATTTTTACCATCAAATAATTTGTTCACCATCAACACTACAAATTCTTCAGATGATCCCTTTTTACCATCAAACAATTTGTCCATCATCAACACTACGAATCCTACAAATGATCCATTTTACCATCAAATAATTTGTCCACCATCTACACCAAAAATCCTTTAGATGATCATTTTTACCATCAAATTAATTTGTCCACCATCAACACTACAAGTCCTTCAGATGATCCATTTTTCCCAACAAATAATTTGTCCAACATCAACACTACAAATCCTTCAGATGATCAATTTTTACCATCAAATAACAAGCCCTCCACCACGGCCGCCAATAGCAGCCTCGCTCGAAACTCCAACGATCACGACTAGTGTTCGTTTCCGGGGGCAGTTCAGAGCAAAGATTTTCGTCCATTTTTCAGCAGAAAAACACGCTTTCTTTGCTGTAATTTTTTAAATTCTTTTCTGATCGTCTTGAGAGGAAAGTGAGGGTATTTCGAAGCCTAAAACAAATGTATGTGCTATTATAGCGAATAATTTTTTTTCATTTGTAAACGGAAGTGTACGCGGTAAGATATTTATACGTTCTCTCTTATTCAACTAATTCATTGTAGCGAAGTATTGTCGAAAGAAGATTTTATTGTAAAACTTAGCTATAAAAAACGATAATACAAGGCAGCGTTTCTTGAAACAAAATGTATATGACTTTTTATATTTGTTTTTCCAACGAAGTTTAAATTNGGCCAGTACAACATTGTTCACGGAGACAGTAGTGGTAGCCAGTACAACATTGTTCACGGAGACAGTAGTGGTAGCCAGTACAACATTGTTCACGGAGACAGTAGTGGTAGCCAGTACAACATTGTTCACGGAGACAGTAGTGGTAGCCAGTACAACATTGTTCACGGAGACAGTAGTGGTAGCCAGTACAACATTGTTCACGGAGACAGTAGTGGTAGCCAGTACAACATTGTTCACGGAGACAGTAGTGGTAGCCAGTACAACATTGTTCACGGAGACAGTAGTGGTAGCCAGTACAACATTGTTCACGGAGACAGTAGTGGTAGCCAGTACAACATTGTTCACGGAGACAGTAGTGGTAGCCAGTACAACATTGTTCACGGAGACAGTAGTGGTAGCCAGTACAACATTGTTCACGGAGACAGTAGTGGTAGCCAGTACAACATTGTTCACGGAGACAGTAGTGGTAGCCAGTACAACATTGTTCACGGAGACAGTAGTGGTAGCCAGTACAACATTGTTCACGGAGACAGTAGTGGTAGCCAGTACAACATTGTTCACGGAGACAGTAGTGGTAGCCAGTACAACATTGTTCACGGAGACAGTAGTGGTAGCCAGTACAACATTGTTCACGGAGACAGTAGTGGTAGCCAGTACAACATTGTTCACGGAGACAGTAGTGGTAGCCAGTACAACATTGTTCACGGAGACAGTAGTGGTAGCCAGTACAACATTGTTCACGGAGACAGTAGTGGTAGCCAGTACAACATTGTTCACGGAGACAGTAGTGGTAGCCAGTACAACATTGTTCACGGAGACAGTAGTGGTAGCCAGTACAACATTGTTCACGGAGACAGTAGTGGTAGCCAGTACAACATTGTTCACGGAGACAGTAGTGGTAGCCAGTACAACATTGTTCACGGAGACAGTAGTGGTAGCCAGTACAACATTGTTCACGGAGACAGTAGTGGTAGCCAGTACAACATTGTTCACGGAGACAGTAGTGGTAGCCAGTACAACATTGTTCACGGAGACAGTAGTGGTAGCCAGTACAACATTGTTCACGGAGACAGTAGTGGTAGCCAGTACAACATTGTTCACGGAGACAGTAGTGGTAGCCAGTACAACATTGTTCACGGAGACAGTAGTGGTAGCCAGTACAACATTGTTCACGGAGACAGTAGTGGTAGCCAGTACAACATTGTTCACGGAGACAGTAGTGGTAGCCAGTACAACATTGTTCACGGAGACAGTAGTGGTAGCCAGTACAACATTGTTCACGGAGACAGTAATGGCGCCCGTACAACATTGTTCACGGAGACAGTAGTGGCGGCCTGTACAATATTGTTCACGGGTAAAGTAGTGGCGGCCAGTACAACAATAAAGTACTTATTTTGATACAAGTGGCCTGTAGTAAACGACCACTGCATCGTCTCCTTGGCCAGTAGCGCTAATTCACCAGGGATAATAGTACGATAAATAGTGGCGTTAAGTATTAGGAAGTTGAACTGGCCACCGCTGCTGACCACCACGAATTGTACAAGCACTTTTTTTAGAGCCAGTCGCACCTTCAATTTCATCCAGAAAAGATTTAGTATACCTTCAATATAACATAGAAGCGTTGCTGCTCTTATTTATTTGGAGAATATCTGACTCTACTTATCTAGGCATGTATTAAATAATTTCAATTTTATATCATTTCTAGCGGATATAGCGGTATTAATATCTCAAAATATAAGATGCATCACATTCGTATGTCTGAAACCCTTACCTCATCTCGGAAAGATCTTACTGTACATTTCTCTCATGAAATATTAAATCCATTCAATTTCATTCCAGTTTTATATAAGATATTGCTAAATTATTTTTCAAAATATAAACTTCTTCACGTTTTTGAGGCATCAAATTTCATCTAGCTTAAAAAATATCTGACTCATCTTATATAGGGGTTATCTGACTCAACTTCTCTAGGGAAATATAAAATAAATTTAATTCAA